CAAAAAGCTAAGAAGGAGATAGCGTGATATTTGAAGAATAAAGTTGGCCCGCCATTTTGCCTGCACTTGCAAGTTAAAGAACAAAATTTCTCAGTCAATGATTTTCAGAACAGTGTCTGGATATAATGATAAGAAGTGATTATCCTACTCTTGACAAATGCAAGAGGTCAGATCGTAAAATTATTAGAAACAGCTAGCAATTGATGAGCTTCTATTGTACTTGCCCCTTGCCATGGATAAGTTTAAACTATAAGTTGCTTTCTAATATAAAAAAACCATGTTTTATGGTTTAGCAGCTTTTGCATATAATGGAGATCCTGTATGCTTGATTATCCGCTGTTTCCCTTAGAAAATTGACGAAAAAAGCTATATGATGAAAATCAGTGTAAGTATGGTTATAACTTTATCATATATATTTCGGTATTTTAATTACATCTCTCTCTAAAAAACTCTAAATGAGGTGATACTTTGACCACTAGAATTCTAAAAAGAAAGGCTATAATTTTATGTTTACCAATTCACCCAGTTCTGATTGGATAGTGATCAAAATATTTATCAAAGTCGGAGCACTGCAGTAATATACAAGGACTGAATATGATGCGGTATTTGGAGCATATCTTTCAATCTATAAGTCCAATTGATGTGATTCTTGATCCATTGGAAAGCTAAGAGATAGGAATAAAACTTTTATGTTTACTATTTTGTCCAGTTCGAAACATATCATGGTGAAACTCATATTTAAAATTGTTAGACTGCCACAGTACTAGGAGAACAAGGCTGTAGCGTTAATGAAAGGAAGCACTCATATTTAAAATTGGACTTGTTTGATTTATTGTTTGCCCAATTATCTTGTAGTTTTAATTTTTAATTAAATTAGTTTTAGTTGAGTAATTTTTAGTTCAATTATAACTCAGATTTTAATTATTTGAATAAAACTAAATTATTTTAATTTTAATACTTAATAAAATTTTGAATCAATTTCTTGTAGGATCGATACTCTGCTTACTAATATACTATCTATTCGATATGTATACTTACGTAGTAAAATTTTAATTGACATTTACATCGAAAGAATCAAGCAATATACTCATGTGATTGTCAAATCTTTATTAGTATAGTTCCTTTCAATTCCATAACTCTTCAAATACCATAACATAAGAATAAGATAGATCATAGGATAAATTTTTTCTTTAAGATAGTCGGTTTGTTTGGTCAAGCACTGATGCAAAGTTCATGTATAGAAGTTTTTTTTCCCTTTAATATAAGGATACATTCACATTCATTGATTCTTAACTTCCAATTAACAAGAAGTCATACTATATGTTATGTTAATTAAGAATTAAGAGTTTTGGAAAAAGATTGAGAATCCAGGTGACGGCATAGGATGAGTTCAATTCCCCACTTGTCAGATGAAAAGAAGAGGTAGCTTCCTTCACGACTTGAAGCTCTGTCTTTGGTCTAGCCTTCGCATTCTCTATATAAGGATCCCTCAAAAGTACTTACAAGTCACAACCATTACCCCTAAGACCATTCTATTTTTAAATTTTATGAGAACTAAAAGGATGGCAACCATTTCCTTTGATCCAAGGCTCAATGTTCAGGTAGGCCAAAAGAATCATGGTGTTGTAGTTGAGGAGATTGAAGGGCTCATCCGAGTTTACCAAAATGGACACGTTGAAAGGCCACCAATCATCCCTATTGTCCCCTCCACGGTGACAGTGGGTGTGATATCTAAGGATGTTGTTATTGATAAATTCACCAGCTCATGGACACGTATCTATGCCCCAAGCTACTCCAGCAAGATGCCCTTACTTGTTTACTTCCATGGGGGTGGATTCTGTGTTGGCTCAGCTGCTTGGAGCTGTTACCATGAGTTCCTGTCCGCTCTTGTTTCCAAAGCAGGCTGCATAATCTTTCTGTCAACTACCGTCAAGCTCCTGAAAATCGACTTCCCGCTGCTTATGATGACGGTATCAACTCTCTTATGTGGGTGAAACAACAAGCTCTAAATGGGTCCAGTGAACACAAATGGTGGTTAAGTCAATGTGATTTCTCTAGTTTGTTCCTCGGAGGTGATAGTGCAGGGGCTAATATAGCTTATAATGTGGCCACAAGACTAGGATCCTATGGCGCATCCGATTCCAGCTTCAAGCCTTTGGTCCTCAAGGGTACAATCTTGATTCAACCTTTCTTTGGAGGAGAGGCAAGAACTGCCTCAGAAATGCATGCCACGCAACCAGCTAGCTCAGCGCTCACTCTATCAGCTTATGATACTTATTGGCGATTGTCACTCCCTTTGGGTGCCAACCGCGACCATCCATGGTGCAACCCTTTAGCAAAAGGCGCTGCTAAGTTGCGGGAACTGAGACTTCCAGCCACAATGGTGTGCATATCAGAGATGGATATACTAAAAGATAGGAACTTGGAATTTTGCAATGCCTTGGCTAGTGCTGGCAAAAGGGTGGAAACAAAGATGTACAAAAGTGTTGGGCATGCATTCCAAATTCTGCATAATTCTCCGATCTCTCAAGTTCGGACCCAGGAACTGATGTCCCATCTTAAGACTTTCATCAACCCATAACTGATAATATTCATACCGGCTGCTGCTAACTTTTTCAGATATATCATGTAAATCTTAGACATTAATATAATTGCTGTGTTGTTAATTGAAACATATATTTATTACTAGTATTTATTTGGTTCAAATGTCTTTATCGATAAGTGAAGCTACATGTGGCTAAAACTCACTCTCCTGACTCTTGGTGCCTAAGAGAATATGAGACCTTCAGCTGTTGCTAGGACCTACGAGACTCTTGGTGCCTAATCTTGAGATACTTGCTTCTGTTCACTTTCTCTCAAGACTATGGCAGCAGGCTCCTACCAATGACTTAAACTTCCATGGCATTAGTTTTCAATCCATGACCTCATTAAGTAAAGGTTGCTATGACTGGACGCCTATGAAACAATTATACTAAAGTAAACTAATCTATAAAATTATCTCGAGACTCTTCCAAAGAAAATGAAAACATGTAGCAACTGCGAGGGGTACCATAAGATAGAGCTCAAAAGCGATGCTGACCTTTCAAAGGGAAGAGATAGACAGATTCCAATTACTACTTTTTAGAGGAAGAGGGTGCTCCAAATTGCCTCATGATAAATGTCAAAAGACGGTACAACAGTGGTAGTATTTTTGCTTTTGACTCAAGGTCGCAACCTTTCCACTAATTTGACTTCCATTGCTGGCCAGGTCATAATCTTTAGTGGATCGTACATGAATTGTAGAGGACCTTTAACCAACCCAAAGTTCATTGTCCCACCCGACCCACCCCACCCCCCTCAAAAAAAAAAAAAGTTTTTGGGTCCAAAAGTAGTAAGGAAAACATTCACAGTTTTCTCCCATGAAATATGTTTTTTTTACGGTTGGTTCTTCCGAAATAATCAAGGACCACTAATGCTAGAATATTTTAGGCACCATTTATGGTTGTATTAGAGCATGATTTTCATGTAAACTGGAGAATGATAGCGTCCATTCTTTTGGGGATGAAATAGGTAACATTTGGCAGAATAATGCTACTTTAAATTGAATCCTAAGACTCAATTAGTCAATATCAAACTCAGCGGATGAAAAGATATTGTGTTGAATTCTTTGTTTAAATTAATCATAAGCATCAAGACACATATACGTATTTTCTTTTACAAAATTCTATTGGGTTAACATATTTACCCAAAAAATAGAGTGAAGCATTCAACCTAATATGGTGTGACAAATGCCAATTTTACTGATACTAGTAACGTTTGGATTACATGTCTAATTTGAGATAACCATGGAAATTTGATTGATTGCTGCAGAGTGTGCCCATTTTCTTGAGAGAGGTGGCTCGTTACCATATTGTATTACACCCAATTGGAAGGAAACAACTGCTTTAATATCATGAACATCTATGGATATCCTTTTTTTTACTAGAACTCTAGTCGAAAGGTGCCAATCATCAACATCATTCGTTGAAATAAACTTGACATAGTATTTAAATAATTTTAAAAAAGTTAAATAAATTTTTATTTTTTATTATATTTAATTAAGTATTTATATATTTGTTTTAAATTAAATTAATTAATAATTGATTACATATTGTTAATTAAAATTTTACTTGTTATTTTATATCATGTAATGTCAATATTACATACTGATGTAATATAATAATATGATTATATAATATTTTTTCTTTTTATGTGTACATAAAATTACAATTAACATATTAATTGATAATAATTAATCAATTATTAATTATAAAAATTTATTTGTTAAAAAAATATAAAGACTTGATTAATTGTAATAGAAGAATAAAAATTTATTTAAATTTTTTTAATAGTTTAGAGATTTTTTCGAGTGTTATATCAATAAAATTTAGACACTAAATTTATTTATGAACTTATTTTTTATTTTTCAATCATAAAATAAAATTGAATGTGAAATTTAATAATTTTATAATTTAAAATATGTTCAGTTGGATCCAAGCTGAAGTCTTACAAGTTAGGCAAACATTATTTCCTATTTCAACTTTGTTTATGACAATATATATACCGTTTGTTAATCTATTTCAATTCCTTAAAAATATAATAAAAATAATTTCGTCTATTCTAAAGAACTAACAAACTAAATAGACATGATTAAGAGTAAACAATTAAAAAGGGAAAGAGCTAACTTGTTTTGAGTTAAGAGTTCAGTCCGATCAAGCCCAAAATCATTATTTAATTTTATTTTGCAAATGAATAATAAATTTTTATCCAAATTTATTTATTTTAAAAGGTATTTAAAGCATACTAATATTTTTTTAAAAACGTTAATTGGAACCGATAAAGCGAAATTAAACCCCGGCCCAAAACAACAAAAAACAAAGATTCGGACATGGATCCATATCAAACTACTTGAAAAAAAAAGGCGACCCGACGGGTCTTAATAGCCATTCCCAAGCGACGTTCTAGTAGACTAGTACTACAAGCCAGTTCATTTTTTCATTCAGTTTGGAAAATCGAGTTTTAAATTTAAATCGTCCCCTTCGTCACAGAAAGAAAAAATCTTGACACTGGAGTATATTTTTGTTTCCATTTAGATTCAATTTTGGCTTGGTTGAAAAAATGGCGAGGAGGAACTACGTGAGAGAGAACGTTCCTCTCTCACGCTTCGGCGTCTTGGTTGCTCAGCTTGAGTCCATCGTCGCTTCCGCATCACAGAAATCTCCCGACCCTCTCCTTTGCTTCGATCTCCTCTCGGATCTCCTCTCCGCCCTCGACGACGAGCCCAAGGTCTCTCTTTCTACCGATCTAAACCTTTTACTATACCATTCAACAATTTAGTTGGAGGATTTTATCACATTGTTGTCCATTTAGTACATTGATTGGTTTCATCTTAATTGCTTTGTAAATTGTTCACGATTGTGGTAGTATCTTTAGCATATTTTTTTCTGTATGTTGATTTTGTTTGCTTGTTATTGAAGGAATATTATTTAGTGTCTGAATTTGAAAATTTTTGGTGCAATTTATTTGTGTAAAGATTTTATTTGCAATTTGGTCTCGATGGTTTGTAGTAACAATTTGTGTTATGGTTGTTTAAAAAGTAATCTGGACATGTTTGTGTATGTTAAATGTGGTCAGAAATGATATAATTTTGGTTCGAGATATTTCTGAAGAGGCGCATTTATTTGTATATTAATTGTAAACTTCTTATGAGAATGAATTAGAAATCATTACACATGAGGCAGATCGGTATAGTGATCGATCACTTGCTCTGATGAAGTGTTTATTAGTTTCAATTTCAATGTAAATGTAGTAGATGGTGTCAAACATTTGAGTTCATGAATTTTGTTTTCAATTTTAATGATTTTGAATATTTATTCTATTCCACTGCCTTTTTTTGTATATGTTAGGAAGTTCATTCTTTTCTGAGATGAGTAAATTTTGATATTTTGACTTGAAAATATTAAATTTCAGGAATCTATCTTGTTGTGGCAAAGAAAATGTGAGGATGCTTTGTATTCCTTGCTTATTCTTGGTGCTAAACGACCTGTACGTCATTTGGCATCCATAGCAATGGCAAGGATAATATCTAAAGGAGATAGCATTTCAATATACTCAAGAGCAAGTAGTCTCCAAGGGTTTCTTTCTGATGGGAAGCGGAGTGAGCCACAGAGAATTGCTGGTTAGTTGAAGCTATAACGACCTGTACTGTGTGTATTATCATTGTCTTTTAACTAGAATATAGCAGATGGTTATACTATGATTTCATATCATTCAGCTGGATACCAGATTAATTTTTGGTTGAAGTTCTCTCTGATATCTAATTTTCTTCATAAAGACTATTGTTGGTTATTGAGGATCTCATGTAAGGTTCCACAAGCTACCTTTTGTAGTTAAGAAATGGTTTTTCATGAGTAAAAGTTATCTAATTGAAGCAACTTGAGGGCTGAGGCAAGTTTAGGGAACTTATTTGAAGATAATACATTAACCTTGTTGTTTTCTGTTAGTGGATGGAATAATTCTTGGTTCATCAAAACATTTGAATAAGTCAATTTTGTCAAGGTTGATGGGTGGAAGAGGTTGGAAAAAACAATATGAAATTTGATTTTCAAGTACAGTTGGCGAACAAATCTGAAAGTTTATTTTCTTATTAATGGGAATGATTCTAGTGATATTTTGTAAAAGGTTTTAATGAACAGTATAATAATTAACCTAAACATACTTTTTCCTCTTTGAAACATTGGTTTTGATGCAATGCGAATAGTTTCCTAGTCATCAAACCCCAAGTCAATGAGATGTGGATGTTCAACTCTGAGCTGTTTTGGCAAGATCTTGATGTAAACAAACCTAAAACTAGTATGAGCCATGCTATAGCACTCGAATTTAGTGCTAGACTAGCTGCCACAATGTGTTTTTACTCAATATTAGGTGCCGACCAACAAATATATAATATTTCGTAATGGATCTTGTCCGATGGAGAACCACCCCTTCAGTTCCTATATCAATGCAATCTTGTCAAAGTAAACCTTGATTTGGTGCACCTTTAAGATTTCTTAGGATACAGACTATTTCATCTTAAAGGCTAGTTAATGGTGAGTCTAAGAAGTGCTAGTGAGTCTAAGAAGTGACTAACCTCACTTGTTGCAAATGAAATGTTTCTCTCTAGTGGGTGTAAGTAGTTTAATTTCTTATACAATCTCCTGTACCTTCCATGATCTGCTAATGTTTTACTTTGATTTTCACATGTTTGCTCATGGGATCCAAGAGAGTACTAAAAGGTTTTAATCCTAGTGGTTGTCAATAGAGAAAAAGAGAGATAGAGATAAAAAGGAAAATGAAAGCTATCTAACATTTTGGCAGCCTACTGCATTTATACTAAAAGATAATATACAAAAGGATGGTAATACCCTTCTCACATCATACAACCCATAACAATCCCCCTCTAGTTGGTGCATAGTTTCATACACTCCTAACTTGAAATTCTTGAATTACCAAAAGGTTTTCTGAAAAAGTTTGGTAGCTGATTTATCGACCTTATTGATCTTGTGCAGATTTCATTTTGCAAGAGTCTCTTTTTCAATGAAATACATTCCACTTCAATAAGCTTGGTGTTTAGAGATAGTCAGGAATACTAGAGAGTTTCCTAATTCACCTTCTAATACTGAGAAATGATATGCATAAAGATAACATTACTCTTTTGACATAATTTACCTTCTGATAGTGGTGTTAGCCAAGCACATATATTCTTTGACATTAAAAGATACCGTCACATGACCTGGCTACCTCAATTCCCAAAAATTTTTCTAGCTACCATTAGTTTTTAGTTTGAAAGTTACTCTATAAGAAACACTTTTAAATGTTGTACCTTTTTGCTTTCCTCATCTATAATAACGATACCATCAGCACAGACAATCATTTATTTCTTAGCTGCTGCAGCTTGATGATACGATATAAAATGATCTACAAGACGTCTCTAGGCTAAACTCCATTAGCACACTACTAAATCTACCAAAGCATGTTCTTAGGAGATTGTTTCAAATCTTGTAAAGACTTCTTTAGACAATAAACCAACCCATACTGCATTTGAGCAACAAACCTAGGATGTTGTTCCATATAGACCTTCTTCTCAAAAACCTCCTATGCAGGAGTGTGGTTCAACATCTAACTGATTTAAGGGTCAGTTAAAAATCATGGCGAGAGAAAGATAATGAATGGATTTAACCTTGGCCATTGGTGAGAATGTTTTTGTATGGTTTAAGCCATACACATGAGTTTATCTTTTAGTCACAATACAAGCTTTTGATCGATAACCATACCATTTGATTAAACTTTCATTCTGTAGACTCATCTACAACCTTCGTTGAGCTAGAACTTTCATGTATAGACCAACCTACAGCCTTGGTTCAAAATGTGGCCTTGATACAAGAGCACTTTGCTACAACAACAAAGAAGCTAGTAACACTTAAGAACTCAAAGAAGGAATCCTAGAACTATGAAGGAATTAGTTCGACATCGTTATTCTCCTCCCATTTCAACAGGTGAGTGCTCTGCCCTTTCAAGAGTTTTATAGTTCATTCAGATCTGTAGATTTAATTGCAGATAGGAAGCAATAATTTTTCATGTTATACCACTCCAATTTTCCATGAAACTCCTCTTGAACATGCCAGCTTTTTGTCATCTGTGCTACTTAACCCACTGAATGCTTAAAAACAAGAATGCCATCTAATTCTATCTTAACCAGACAGTGTAGCTGGAATCTAACAAATTGTTTCTATGTCATTTTGTTTCTTCTGGCTGAAAACAACCCTCTTCCTTTTCAAAGCTATTAAAATTATATAGCTGAAGCTGTTAAATCTATATCCTAAATCAGATGGTCTCCATTCTCTGACAATCCACATTCTTTTTTCAGCTCTGCATCTGTCTAGGAAAGCCTCTAAATAGTTGTGTTCTTCTTTTGGTTTTAACCATTTTTTTTTCATAGCCTGCAAATTCTATAATCGAGTTTGGTACCTATTCATGCTTCGATCCCCTCATTTGCACCTCCACAAGTCAAATCTCTAACTTTAGAAGTGAATTTGATATTAAAAATTAACTTGGATTTAACTGGTTTCCTGTGCATTGGCTGTAATTTCCTCTTGGTCTACGAGTTGGAGGATTGAATGCCTTGAAATAAAGCGTGGGGTTAAAGGACAAGCTGAAGTTCCATTTCAGGGGTACATTGGGTTCAGGCATGCTTTGGATAGTGACCTTGTTTCTAAAAGGGATCTAACCAAGAAAAGAATTCTTTTAAGCGTAAATGAATTTCGGATCAATTCTTGTGATAGGGGAGGTTTCTCTTTGAATTCTTTGGGTGGTAATGAGGATGGATAGGACATATTGAGTTGCCAAATGACTTGACTTCTGACATTGTAAGGTTGTTTACATGGATTTTAGAATTTACATTGGTATCTATGTTGTAAAAATTTAAATGCCAGTGAAGAGGTACCAAGTGACTCGTTGACTTTTGTGTGTGTCGGTACGTGTGTACTATATCAGTATGTGTTGGTACGTGTGTACTATATCAGTATGTGTTGGCACTTTCAATGTAGCTACTTTCATTGTAAGATAGTGCTCATAATGGATATTTTTTACCACCTTTTTTT